GTTCAATAAATATTTGTTGAATTTGGGAGTAAACTAATGAGTGAACAGAGACTCAAATGGAGAAAAGAGGAGAGTAGGGGAAGAGTCAGGAGAATAGAAAAATTAGGAAAGGTAAAAGAAGGAAAGTGAGAGACAACAAATGTATAGTCATGGTAGTGGAGTGAAGAGTACAGAAATTGTGAAAGAGAGAAAAAGATAAAAGCCAGACGGAAAAGGGAGGGTAGAGATAAGAACAAGGAGAAGAGGACTGCTCCAGAAAAACAGAGAACAAGAGGATGATGGGAAATACAGAAGAATAGGGAAAGAGACTGAGCTCAGAGAACAAGAGGAAAGAGAGAGAGAGAGAGAGAGAGAGAGAGAGAGAGAGAGAGAGAGAGATAAGAACAAGAAGAAGAAGAAGAATAAGAAGAAGAAGAATAAGAAGAAGAAGAAGAAGGGGGAGGAGCAGGAGAGAGATATTAGTGAATGAGAAAGCAGAGGTAGAGGCAGAGACAGAAGGACACAAAAGAGAAATGAGGACAACCCTAGCCAGTTTGGCTAAGTGGATAGAGCATAGGCCCACGGACTGAAGGGTCCAGGGTTCAATTCCAGTCAAGGGCATGTACCTTGGTTGCAGGTTCCCCGGCACTGGTTGGGGTGTGTGCAGAAGGCAACCAATCGATGTGTCTCGTTTTTCTCTGTCTCTCCCTTTCCCTTCCACTCTCTCTAAAAATCAATGGAAAAATATCCTGAGGTCGGGGTTAACAATGAGAGAGAGAGAGAGAGAGAGAGAGAGAGAGAGAGAGAGAGAGAGAAATGTGGACAGATCAATGAGCATAGAGGAATATACAAAGACTCAGAAACCTGAGAGTAGGAATGGAGAGAATTTAGCAGGGGCAGAGAGTCAGTCATGCACAAAAATAAAGGAGAAAAGCTGTCAGAGATTGTGAGGATGGAAGAGAACAACTAAGAACAAAAACAGATCTAGAGACAGAGAAACATCGATCAGATGCTCAAACCTCAGAGGGAAGGTAGGGGAGGGTGGGGGTAAGGGGAAGAGATCAACCAAAGGACTTGTATGCACGCATATAAGCATAAGCGATGGAAGCAGACAACAGGGGGTGAGGATGAGGACAAGATGGGGGGGATGAGGGGACAATGAGGGGGATAAAGACACATTTGTAATACCTTAATCAATAAAAAAATAAAAAAAAAAGAGTTCAGGGAAGAGGCCCTGTTGAGGGAGATGAGACAGAGACAGAGTGACAGAAGGGAGTAGAGACAAGATAAAACAATAGAGACAGAGAGGTGGTTAAGGTGGGCTGGGGGTTGATATGAGGAAGGGCTGAGAGAAAGACAGCTAGGGAGAGCAAGAGGGAGGAACAGATGAAAAGAAAAAGGGCAAACTGGATATCCAGCATCAGAGGATCAAGAGATAAGATATGGGACAAGACTATAAGAAAGATATAAAAGAATGTGGGAAGACTAAGGCCTTGGCATCACCAGGAAAACTACTGGGTAGAATCTAATAGCACCTCTATGCTATTAGATATAGGGTCTTACGTTGTAAGGGACAAGTGAACAGAAAGAGCTCATGGCCCTGTTCTCATATGGCAACCTCCTTCACCTCTTACCGAGCAACACCTTCCCTTCCAGGCCTCACAAAGCAAGCATGTGCTCCCTAACTCACAAAGCAATCTCTTCCCCTTGTTTCACCCTAGAGCATCGTCTAACTCTCACAGGCTGTCATAGGAGCAGAGATTAGTAGGTGGGGCAGGGTGTGTAGGCCTTGAAATTGGAAAAAGTCAAGGGGTGTTTAAAGGACTAAATGAAACTCATCATGTTAAGCTTTTAAGACAGTGCCTAGCACATAGTTTTCAATAAATGGTAGCTTTTCTTATTGCAATTCTAGCTCTCCAACTCCCTATTGGACATTCTTGAAAAGTCACTTCCCCTCTTGATCTCAGCTTTCATCAGCTGTCAAATGTCAAGTATTTATGCCTACCTCATGTGGAAGGTAATGAATTGGGCCCAATGCCTACGTTGTATCTGGAGATATGAGTTTTTCTTTCCCTTCCTGCCTGCAAAGGCTAAAGTACTTGAGGCTGAGCCTGCAGACCACAGATAAAGCTCTAAGAGTTTATCGCCACTGAGGTATGACCGCTCCCCAGATGAGACCAGGGTGTGGGAGAGAAGAGGAGCTCCTTTCTAGAATCACGCCTGAGCATCTGGCTTGGGGCTGACTCTGGCTATTGGTGGTGAGGAGGGGTGGATCACCCAGGGAGAGGAATGCAAAACAAATAGCTAGGTTCCAGGCTCTTAGAAATGCTTTTCTCCAATATCAACACTGAAAGTAATGACAACAGTGGGACATGTAATAGTAAGGAGAGCCTCGAAGATCGGAAGCAAAGTCAAGTCCTGCTTTGGGATGATGGTGAATTAAAGCCTACTCCCATTCCCTTGTATAAAAATGGAAAAAGTGCAATACACTCATCATCTCTAAGGGGTTTTGGCTATGCTGTTCTCAGGGACCTAGAAAAATATAGACTACTTCTTGGAATTTGTTGAACTATCAAGTTCTTTTACGTTTCAGTTCCAATTACTCTGTTCTCTTACTCCTTTCTTGGAATTTGTCCCACCTCACTCTGTCCATCTTTATGACCCAAAAGTATGCAGTCTATTTGCCTTGGATTCTGTTTACAATCCACCCCATTACCCATCATGAAACTGGAGTGAGTAAAATTGAATAAAAGAAGTCTTTTAGCGATTTGGGGTATTAAAAGCACAGCGCCTGGAGCCAGACTATTTGGGTTTGCATCCTGGCTTTACCTCTCACTAGCTCTGGGACCTTAAAAAAATTATATCTCTGCTCTGTGTCTTATATCTGTAAAATGTAGATAATAACAAGGACTGTCTACTTCACAGGGATGTTGTGAAGATTCAGTAGGATAATCTATATAAAGTATATAGAAGAGTGTCTATTCCATAGTAAACACTGAAAAAGTGTTAGCTATTATTTTTGCTTTCTACATTTTCTATGTAAGGAAAGTGAAGGTACAGCCAAGGGAAGTTACATCATGAATATATCGGACCAGGTCTCAAAAATTGATTCTTGTCCCAACCCTCATTCTTGCCCTTATTCTATTATAATTTATTATGTGAATTTGGGTCCTGCACTTTCTCTCCCTGGGCCTCAGTTTCTCCACAGACAGTGGACTAGATAATTTCATAGAATCCATCAGATTCTAATAGGCAAACACTCATACAGTACTAACTGCTGGAAATACTTCACATGAATTAACTTATTTGATCCTTGTAACTCTGCAAGGTAGACACTAATGACAACTTTATTTCAAAGATGATGGAACTGAGGCTCAAAAGAATTAAGTAACCTGTCCGGGTCACAGAGTTAGTTAAGTAGGAGAACCAAGATTTAAACCTGGGGAATCTGGTTACAGATCCTACTAACTTAACCACTGTGGATCTGTGATTTAACTATTACTACATGTATTCTTGACTGAGAGCTCAACTCCAGAGGCCAATCCCCTCTACTGTACTAACAGGCTCCTTTCTGGAATAGTTGAATTTGAAATGTAACCAATGCCTTTACCAAAGAAGCATATTTCTAACTGAAGTAGAATTTCAGGCACTGGTGAACATTCATTCATTCATTCATTCCACCACTTAATAACTTATGCACCCATTGTGTGGCAATCCTTGCCAAGGGTCTTATTAAAACAATGCTTTTATTCAAAGACATAATAGTGACAGATCATTACTAGAAGGTTTTCCCTGTACCTTAAAATCATCTCTCATGTCAGCAGCCAATCTGTAGTCCCTGATATCAGAAGGGTCAACCGCAACTCTACCCTAGCAGAGAGCCAGAAACCACTAATTGTAGCATTCCTTGCCCCCTCTTTCCCCTTTGTGGCCTGCTTTGTAAGAATAGGTTAGGTCTGGAGTAGATGTGGACACTTAATTACAGGAGTTGGAAGCATCAGGTTTTACTCCCCTTCCTAGCACCCTCTCTCCATCATGAAAGAATCATGGAGAATTTTAGATAATAGGAAGCAGAAATCAGAAATTCTTAAAGACAGAAAAATTTAGAAGACCACAGAATTAAAAGAAGCCATGGAAATCATAGGCTAAGCTCCATTTTCAGAGGGTCTCACAATGAATTGGTGTGAGAAAACAAATCAATTGACTTTCAGCACAGGGCTCTTTCAGTGACACAGCATTCCTCTTTCACGGTTCCCCCTTATTTCTACTAATTACCCATCTCTCAATTCCTTCAAATCTTTCTCCAATTCATTATTCCCATAATCTCTACATGTCCTGTTTTCTCTTCCTACTTCTGTCCCCCTAGGCTCTGACTCAGAGATCTATGCTGCAGCTAAGCAGAGAGAAGGAGTCAAAGTGAGAGAGGAATGGAGAATTGCTGGAAGAAATATCAGGACATCTTTCTGGGAGAGAAGTAGAGGAAGAGAGAGACAGAAAGACAGAGACTGAGCAGAATAGAAGGAAGAGAGAGAGAGAGAGAGAGAGAGAGATAGAGAGAGAGAGAGAAGAACACAGACAGCATTCAGACAAAGAAGGGAAAATAAGAGAAAGCTAGTGTGTCAGAGAGCGATGAACTGAAGTAAGTGACCTTGAAAGCTAACAAAGGAGAGGAAACAAGGAGGGAAAGACAAAAAGAAGTTAAAAATATGGAAAAGCAGGAAAATACATGGGGGGAAGGGGAGAGGAAATGACAGAGAGACAGATTCTAAGAAACAAAGTCAGATCTAGCCAGGGCAGAGAGTTAGCATGTGCAGCCTTTAGGTGGGCAGACAGATCAGAAAGAGGGCACCGGGATGAAAGTCACTCTTACCTGTTGCCCTGCACTGAGGACGAACGAACGACTGGGTGGATGCTGTGCATCAGGACCTGGCATTTATCCCTTCCTCCTTGGCTCAGCTCCACCCACCCCGCCTTCTGCTGGCCCGGCTTTGCATTGGCCCCAAAGGTATCTTAGGCCCTTCTTAGAGATAAAACCCAATGTAGTCCTCTCTCTCCCAGCATTAGGTCTCCCCTTTCTATTTTCTTTCTTTCTCTTCTTCCTCTGATGCAGTAAAATGATCTTGCTGGACTTTGGAATCAGATCATCCATATATAGCTAAGGCACCTTGAGCAAAATGACCTCTCTGACCCTCAGTTTCCTCAGCTATAAAAGGTGGGCAATAAAACTCAAAAGCAACTGTAGCATGAGTAGGAAGGGCTCTCTTTACATGGATTAATTTAGTTTATCCTCATAAGGACCTTACAAGATAGGTATTATTATCCCCAGGTTACAGATGAAGAAACAAGCTAAGAAGATGAGGTAACTAACTGATAATTAGCCAGCTAGTAAGTACATAGCCCAACTCTGAACCCAGGCAGTTTGCTTTCAGATCCATGCTTTTTTTGTTTAATCCCTTCACTTTTTTTCACCAGCTCCCCAACCCCCCTCCCCTCTGACAGCTGTCAGTCTGTTCCATGTATCCATGCCTCTGTTTCTATTTTGTTCCTCAGTTTATTTGGTTCATTAGATTCCACATATAAGTGAGATCATATGGCATTTATCTTTCTCTGACTGGCTTATTTCACTTGGCAAAATAATCTCCGGGTCCATCCATGCTGTAAGAAAAGGTAAGGTTTTCTTCATTTTTACAGTGAAGTATTCCATTGTGTAAATGTACCACAGCTTTTTTTATCTACTCGTCTACTGATGGGTATTTGGATTGTTTCCAGATCTTGGCTATTGTAAATAATGCTACATTGAACAGAGGAGTGCATATATTCTTTCAAATTAGCATTTTGGGTTTCTTCAGATATATTCCCAGAAGTGGAATCACTGTATCAAAAAGGAAGTTTGATTTTTAACTTTTTGAGGAAACTCCATACTGTTTTCCATAGTGGCTGCACCAATCTGCAATCCCATCAACAGTGCACTAGGATTCCCTTTTCTCCACATCCTCGCCAACACTTGTTGTTTGTTGATTTATTGATGAAAACCATTCTGACAGGCATGAGGTGATATCACATTATGCTTTTAATCTTCATCTCTGTGATGATTAGTGACATTGAAGATTTTTTCATATTTCTATTGGCCATCTGTATGTCCTTTTTGGAGAAGTATTTAAACTAATCCATTGCCTATGTTTTTAATTGGGTTGTTTGTCTTCTTGGTGTTGAGTAGTATAAATTCTTCATATATGTTGGATATTAACTCCTTATCAGATATATCATTGGCAAATACGATCTCCCATTCAGTGGGTACCGTTTCTATTTTGTTAATGGTTTCTTTTGCTGTGCAAAAGCTTTTTAGTTTGATGTAGTCCCATTTGTTTACCTTTTCTTTTGTTTCCCTTGTCTCAGGAGATATATCAGCAAAAATATTGCTGTGAGAAATGCCTGAAATTATACTGCCTATGTTTTATGCTAGGATTTTAATGGTTTGTGACTTATATTTAAGTATTTAATCAATTTTAAGTTTATTTTTGTGTATGGTGTAAGTTGGTAGTCCAGTTTTATTTTTTTGCATGTGTCTGTCCAATTTTCCCAACACCATTTGTTAAAGAGACTGTCTTTACCCCATTGTATGTTCTGGCCTCCTTCGTCAAACATTAATTGCCCATAAAAACATGGGTTTATTTCTGTGCTATCTATTCTGTTTCATTGATCTATATGCCTGTTCTTGTGTCAATACCATGCTGATTTTATTACTATGGCCTAGTTTGATATCAGGTAGTGTGATACCTCCAACTTTCTTCTTCTTTCTCAAGATTGCTGAGGCTATTTGGGGTCTTTTTTGCTTCCATATACACTTTTGGAATATTTATTCTAGATCTGTGAGACATGCCATTAGTATTTTAATAGGAATTGCAATCAATCTGAAAATTGCTTTGAGTAGTATGGGCATTTTAATGATGCTAATTTTTCCTATCCATGCTTTATTTGTGTCTTTCTCAATTTCTTTCTTCAGTATCTCATAATTTCCCTAGGACAGGTCTTTTACCTCATTGGTTAAATTTATTCCTAGGTACTTTATGTTTTTGTTGCAATAGTAAGTGAGATGGTTTTCTTAATTTCTATTTCTGATAGTTCATTATTGGTATATAAAAATGCCACCAATTTCTGAATATTTTTGTATCCAGCTACTTTGCTTAATTCATTTATTAGATCTAGAAGTTTTTTCTGATGGAGTATTTACAGTTTTCTATGTACAATATCATGCCATCTGTGAATAATGACAGTTTTACTTCCTCCTTTTCCATTTGGATGCCTTTTATTTGTTTGTCTTATCCGATTGCTGTGGCTAGTACTTCTCCCAATACTATGTTGTATGAGAGTGGTGAAAGTGGGCATCCTGTCTTGTTCATGAACTTAAGGGAAACACTTTTAAGGTTTTGCCCATTGAATATGATATTGACTGTTGGTTTGTCATATATGGCCTTTATTATGTTGAGATATGATCCCTCCATTCCCACTTTACTGAGAGTTTTTATCATAAATGGGTTTTGGTTTTATCAAATGCTTTTTCTGCATTTGTTGATATGATTATGTGATTTTTATCCTTCATTTTGTTTATGTGGATGTATCACATTTATTGATTTGCTAATATTGTACTAACCTTGCATCTCTGGAATAAATCCCACTTGATCGTGGTGTATGATCTTTTTAATGTATTGCTGGATCCAGTTTATTAATATATTGTTGAGGATTTTAGCGTCTGTTTATTGGGGATATTGCCCCAGAGTTTTTTAAAAAATATATTTTTTTGATTTTTTTACAGAGAGGAAGGAAGAGGGATAGAGAGCTAGAAACATCAATGAGAGAGAAACGTCGATCAGCTGCCTCCTGCACACCCCCCACTAGTCTGCTGGTTTTGAACTCTATATCCAGTAGTTTGCTTTCCTCCATTTCTGTCATTTGTGTCCTTTTTCTTTGTCTCTGCATTTTTTATGCTTCCCTGTGTTGATAAAGTGGTTTTCTGTGCTGAGTGTCCTCTAGGGCCCAGTGGTTCAGCCTCCCCAATTACCTGAGGAGGACACTCTTGGTGCACCCCCTTGTGGGCTTTGTGCACAGTCTTGTTGTAGTTAAGCCTTGATTGTTGTAGGTATCACTGGGAGAATTGGCCTCCAGGCCAATTGGCTGTGAGAATCAGCTGTTTCTGCAGTGGGAGAACTTCTGTGCTGGAGACACCCCTCTGGGGCAAGACTTGCTTCAATGGGGCTTTGGTGCTCACTGAGTCTGCCCCTGAGCGTGTCCTTTATGTTTCCACTGAGCTGCAAACTGGATGGTCCCACTCTGACCTCTGGGCTTCCTGGCTCCTGGATCTCTAGGGAGGTGTTAATCTAGCCTTTGCCTGAGGCTATCCAGCAAAAGCCTCCCTGCAGGGCTTGGGCGGGGCGAGTCCCACAGGATCAACAGGGCAGGGCTAGCAGTTATGGCTGCTCTCAGTCTTGCCCTCAGAGGTTTTGCTTCTCAATGTCCCGGTAATCCCTGCAAGCCCCTCGGAGAGAAAGCTGCCCTCGAGTTCCGCCCGCTTCCAGACAGTCCCGCTTCTTCCGTATAAGTCTGGGTCCGTAGAGACTCGCCCGGAACTGGAGCTCAGAGCCTGAGACTCCCTCCTGATTGAAAACGACAACCGCGCCCTCAGCCGCCAGCCCGCTCCGCACGCACCTCCGCACCTTAGTATTTTACTTCCGCACCGGGTCTCCTCTGAGTCTCAGTATGCTTTTCTCTTTCCTTCTAGTTGTGGAATTTCCACTCAGCCAGCCTTCCTGTGGTTCTGGGTGATGTCCATTCCGTCTTTTAGTTGTATTTTTGAAGTGGTTGTGCGAGGCAGCAATCTCCGGTGTTTACCTATGCCGCCATCTTGGTTTCTCCACTATTATTGTTATTGTTGTTATTATTATTATTTTAAATAAATTTTATTGATTTTTTTACAGAGAGGAAGGGAGAGGGATAGAGAGTTAGAAACACCGATGAGATAGAAACATTGATCAGCTGCCTCCTGCAAACCCCCAACTGGGGATGTGCCTGCAACCAAGGTACATGCCCTTGAACAGAATCGAACCCGGGACCCATCAGTCCACAGGCTGATGCTCTATCCACTGAGCCAACCCGGTTAGGGCTATTGTTATTATTATTACTGCTTTGATTTAATTATTTGTAATTGGTCTATTCAGGTTTTTTTATTCTTCCTGATTCATTTTCAGAAGATTGTATGTTTCTAGAAATTTATCCATTTTGCCGAGTTTGTCCAATTCCTTGACATATAGTTGGTTATAGTATTTTCTTACAATCCTTTGTATTTTATTTTTATTGATTTCAGAGAAGAAGGGAGAGGGTGGGAGAGATAGAAACATCAATGATGAGAGAGAATCATGGATAGGCTGCCTTCTGCACACTCACACTGGGGATCGAGCCTGCAACCCGGGCATGTGCCCTGATCGGGAATTGAACCGTGACCTCCTGGTTCATAGGTTGATGTTCAAACACTAAGCCAGGACAGCTGGGCTATCCTTTGTATTTCTGAGGTGTCAGTTCTCTTTCATTTCTGATTTTATTTATTTGAGTCCACTCTGTTTTTGTGGTTTTTCACATAATTATCAGATAACATTTTAACAATTTTTTTTTATTTACTATTTCAAAGATTGCTGCTATTTTCTCTACTGTCTATTTTGCTTTCCTCAGTCTTGCTTGTTGAACAATTTTGAAAATTTAGTGTTATTGTGTTTGGTTTTTTTTTTTTTTTTTTTTTTTTTTTTGTTTTTTTTTTTTTTTTAGTTTCTCTTATTTAAAAGAAAAAAACAGTTCAAGATGATAATTAGCCGGAGGATAGATTTGAATGGTTCCTTCAACTCTGAATTTATAATGTTTTCACTGATTGTAACTCAAATTATCATGTAATTGCATTTTAAAAATTTTATCTTCACCCCAAGATAACTTAGAAGTTTTTTGTTGTTTTAAACCAATGAATACGGGTGAAGGTAGCTGTTGTGGAGTGGAGTATAGGGTCTCAGCTCCAGCCTACAACTGGACCTCTGAGAGGGAGGCTAGGACTGGACCTTATATCAGTAGGGATACCCGAATCATTTGGAATAGAGATAAAATTATAAACATATCTTCAGCTAATCAAGCTCTTTCCTCACAATTTAAACTTTGGTTGCTTCCTTCAAATTGCTGTTTTCTTTTTCTTTTTAAATTTTATTTTATTAATCCTCACCTGAGGATTTTTTCCATTGATTTTTAGAGTAGAAAGAAGAGGAAGAGACAGAAAGAGAGAAACATCAGTGTGAGAGAGACACATCAATCGGTTGTCTCTCGCACAGGGATCAAGCCTGCAACTGCAGTACGTG